GATTTATCAGATAGCAGCACGCGCCCCCCGATCACAGGCTTTCTACTGTGACAAGTCACACAGCTCACCTCTGACCAAGTGCGCACGCCAATCCTCGGGTTTGTACCGTGCTCGTCCCGGTAGGGCGACAGACGTCAGGCAGGGGCGACAGACGTCAGGCAGGGGCGACAGACGTCAGGCAGGGGCGACAGACGTCAGGCAGGGCGACAGACGTCAGGTAGGCAACCGCTGACGCTAGATCGTTGCAGCTCAAAAAATTCAAGATTGAATTTACGTGGCAACGTTGGAAACAGGATGAAGGTTAAAGTTTCCCTAATACGTGAACAGGTTGCTGCTGAAAATTAGGAGAGACTATAAAAATGTAACTCTAGCACATGATCGAGGTGCAAAGTGCTGCTTCTGACTGTGCTGCTTCCCCGGCTTTTACCCGCGCCCTCGTTACGCGTATTGACATTTGAAATGTCTACCTTAGTCTGCAGGGGCTCAGTTAAGTCTCTACCTTAGTCTGCAGGGGCTCAGTTAAGTCTCTACCTAAGGCCCCTTTCACACAGGGCAGTAGATACTGCCGCGTCAAAAATGCCGCGGCAGTATTTACTGCGCAATCTTTCACACGAGGCGCTTTTTACTGCTGGGATCTATCAGTCTTGCAGTGCTTTATGCTTCATCAGTCCATCTCTATGTTTATGTAACAATATTTCTTTATGAAAACACTGTATTTCTCTATGTGAGAATGATGTAAATACATCTCTATGGAAATACCTATATATTTTATGGAAAATATATCTTTTATAAAATATATCTCTATCACTTCAAGGAAATATATATTTAACAATGTATATCTTTATGTTTATGTAACAATATTTATGTACCGATATTTATGTTACAATATCAGTCTATAATCTATCAGTCTAGCAGTGCTGTTTATTATGCACCTAAAATACGGCCCCACTGTCTGCCGGGATCTGGCGTCAAAAAACCGCCCAGTGTGAAAGATTACATTGAAAACCATTGCAAGCTAAACTGCGCGACAAATCTACTGCCGCAGTTTTAGCAGGACAGACGCTGGCGTCAGGCGTCAAATTCTACGCCGCAGTAAAAGCAGTCGTGTGTGAACAGCAGTCCACATTTCGTATGTCCGCTAAGGTTCGGCAGTAAATACTGTCGGACGCTGGCAGTATTTACTGCCCTGTGTGAAAGGGGCCTTAGTCTGCAGGGGCTCGGTTAAGTCTCTACCTTAGTCTGCAGGGGCTCACTTGAGTCTCTACCTTAGTCTGCAGGGGCTCAGTTACAGTTAAGTCGCTATCATAGTCTGCAGGGGCTCGGTTGTCTCTACCTTAGTCTGCAGGGGCTCAGTTAAGTCTCTACCTTAGTCTGCAGGGGCTCGTTTAATTCTCTACCTTAATCTGCAAATTTTCAAGCCTGGCTCGAATCTTCTGTTTTTCCAGTAGCCGTCCATTTTGCTGTTGCTGTTCTGCTGGCTGAGCAGCTGCCGCTTCTTCTTGATGTAGCCATCGATAACTGAGTCATGGTTGAATTAATACCTATATGTATTAATTCAACCATGAACTGACTTGCCTGCTTCTGCCGGTGTGGCCTTCGGAATGGCTCCTGCTGCAGTTGCCTTAGTTAGGGTCTTCTTGGTAACAGAATCCATGACTAACTGCAAATACTAGTTACAAGAAATCTGCAAATACTAGTAACCGAAAATTTGTCACACGTGCTACGTGAACACTGAACATAGAGTATGCCAATTAATTAGATAACATGGGACGAAAAGAGGGACGAACTAAAGCTATAACGCCACCTCGTTACCAAAAAATTCTGTACGTTAAAAGCCCCGTAATAATTGATATATAAAATTCATATATAAATGAAAAGTACTTTTTTATTAAACGTACTTTTATTAAAGTACGTTTAATAAAAGTAAAAAAAATTATTTTTGAAGCGTACTTTTATTAAACAATTTTATTTTTCGATAAGCCAAACGAAATTTCTAGCTGGATCTTGAAGATAAAAAAGCAGATAACCAAATGACATTTTATTGCAGTGCGACGTTTCGAATATAACAATATTCATTATCAAACAAGAGAAGAGATTATACAACGCTTAAAATTGAAATTTGGACATGACATAAGTTCGTACAGAAAGTCTCGTAGATACAGTTTAAAATCGAAAATTAAATTGATCCGAGAATAATTTCAATGTCCTGACTAATCCGGTGGTTTGAAAATTGATAGCAGGAGACTCGTCCTTAATGATGAGAGCCTCCGCTATCGACAGTCTCGTAGCGTCGGGGCACCGCATGACGATGCTGGTGCAGGCCTCCAACGTGGCACGGGTGATGGTCTCGTTGTGGGCCTCCCGCATGTGATTCTTTGGTCCTCCAGCTTGCAGATGGCATGTGAGTCTGCGGCTCAATGTCGTGCTTGTCAAACCGATGTAATTTACATTTTTAGGAAGTCTACAACCTTCTTTCAAGCAGGAAAATTTGTAAATGACATTGGTTTCTTGTAGCGGTCCGGACTTTTTGCATGTATTGTTTTTCATGATTAAATTCTTGATCTTTTCATTTCTGTAGTAAATCAAAAGTTGTATTCGGTCAATTACTGTTGTGCAGCTGAAGTTATTGTGCAAGATTGAATTGAGGAGTCGTTTGGCAGTCATGTGACCGCCGTTAGAGGGTCTTGAACGCTCGATGTATGAGGGCGCGTATTGACAAACGTATTTACAGTAGACATTTTATACAAGAACCGACAGCAAGGGCCACAGCTATAAACTAAAAAACTGCGTTACAACTCATCCACGTAACATTTCTGCTCGCTTCGAATCACCGACATGTGGAACAGCCTCCCCGATGACATCGTTGGCGCTCCGAGTGTGAACGCGTTCAAGAACAGACTTGATAAAGCTACGGAAAAATATATGTTCACACTTAAATGCCTAGCACCCGGTGGAAGTCAAGTAGCTGTTTCAAACTATCGTCAGTCATGAAAAGATCCGGTCAAATGTCACGATTTTGGACCTTCTGTGAACAATGAACGAAAATTACAAGAAGCGGCGACAGGCCACGTCAGGCCTACTCTTCAGCGCGGACGTCACTATACTATGTTATGTAGTATGAAAATAAATAAACTATATAAAATAAATTGGTTCAATTTGCAGAAAATAAAATTACACACGATTGCGAGACCATGACATGAATTACGCTCGTCTTACTCACAGAGCTGAGTTATCTGTGTGGTGCGGCATCTCCGACTCCACAGCAGACATAACCGTGTGGTGTAGCATAATATATTATACTCACTAGGTAAACAACATATAGTGTGGCAGCAACTTTACTTACTGCTGATAGAATAGAATAGAAGTGTCGGCGTTGAAGAAATAGGCCAATGGCCTGTTGCCGATCCTTGAACTTTTCGTGACTTGATTCACAAGGGATCCGGCCTTCGGAACCCGATCTTTCCATAGCTGACGATTGGTTGAGATAGCTGCTGGACATATTGCCTGGTCCGTAATTTACTAGGCATTTTAAGATTGAACATATGCTCCTGCATAGCTTCGTCTAGTCTGTTTTTGAAGATGTTCATACTCGGAGCGTCAACGATGCTATCAAGGAGGCTGTTCCACATGTCGGTGACTCGAAGCGAGAAGAAATGTTGTCGCATGGATGTGTTCCAACGCTGTTTTTTTAGTTTATAGCCGTGGCCCCTGGTGTTGGTTCTTGTTTCAAATTCTAGTAATCCTTCTGGGACCTTGTATATGCCATGAGTATACTTGTATACTTCAATGAGGTCCCCACGCAGACGTCGATAACGGAGGCTTGGAAGCTTCATAATCTTTAATCTTTCCTCATAGGACTTGCCTTTCAAGCCCGGAACTATAGATTAAATACGTTGGCTTTGCCCTCATCAGAGGATATCTTTCGCTGATCTACTTTCAAATCAGAAATACCGTCCTTCATCTTGCACTTCGAGCTAGCGTACAAAAAGAAGGCTTTTGGGTTCTTTTTTGCATTTTTAGCAATACTTTTTTCGAGGGTTTTTACTGCGGTGCGACAGCTTTCTTTAGCTTGATTTCGAGCTCTTGCGTATAGGTTATAGTCAGCATCGCTGATGTAACAGCATGGTGTAGCTTCAGCATTCCTCTTCGCTGAAACAACTGCGGTCTTTGGCATTATCACTTCATAAGCTGAAGTAGCAGCGAGGTGTAGCGTCATGTCTTCGAAAATCGCAGCGCAGTATTTTATTGAAATTTGTTTAGTTCATGATTCGACTGAAAAAGTCATGCACGTGCCTGTTACTGCATCAATCTATTCATTAAGATCAAACGTAGAGTTGCCTCATTGATTTGTCTCTCAATTAAGATCAAGTTGCCTCATGCTTCCTTACAGCCTTTTTTTACATAAGCACCGCAGTCGGGCCTTTAGACGGAAAAAACTTCATCGACTATAAAAAGCGTGGAAATTGAATAAACACATTTCAGTTTTTTTAATGAATTTATGAAATTTTATGAATTTATTTTAATGAATTTAGGAAGAATACATGTTTAATTTATTTAGGAATTACGTTTTAGCATCGGCAGTGAAAAATAGGCCCAAAAAGGCCGACAATGCCTGTCGAGAGTCGAGACACGTCTCGGACAAATTTGCGGCGTACTCGCGGCCGGTCCCCAAATTCAGTGAGAATTGAATACCTCCCAAAGTAATGAATGTAGCTCGATGAAACTTGGTACACATATTCATTAGTGCCTAACGGTGATGTTTAGCTCGTGAGAATTTGTCAAATTTCGGCTTCATTCGGAAGTTATATGACGAAGCGTGCCGAAATTTGCAGTGCGAAATTGGGATAAATTACTGATACTTAGAATATCATAAAGCATTGTAAGCATATCTTTTTTACCCTCATTCATGAAATGTAAATTAGGTTGCAATTTGTTGATTTATCCTTATGGTTTTCCTGGTCTTATTTCCAGGGTAAATTTCCTAGCTAACTCGTGTGTTTTGATGCAGTGCCACACCAGCTGACGTCAGATGTAAATAACAATGGCTAGTGATACTAGTGACGGAGCGAATAAATTATCTAATGGAATTAATAATTTGAATATTATGGGAACGAGTGAGAATGAATCTATATCCAATCATCATCCTCAAAACGATGTTGAAAATAAAACCGAAGTTGATTTAGAAAGTGTAAAAGCAGAATGGGGGTTTGATTTGCAGGAGTTATACAAGCTTGTTGTTAAGTTTTATAAAGGTGAGTCATTTATTAAGAATCTGCTTCCACTGATTATCATGCTGAAAATTGTCATGTCTACCCTTATACTTTATAGTTATAAAATGCATGTTGGAAAAATAAAATTTGCCAGTAGCCACCATCCACTCACATGACCAAGCAGCCAGTCTGGCTTAAATCTGGAAAATTAGGCAGCATTATCCAATGATTGCAGGTTAAAGTTTGAAACTTATTTTTAAATGTAATTTTTGAAAATTGTAGTCAATTTTGCTGTTTGTTTTATTTGCATAACATAAATCTGGCAAGTGGCAAGGCAAGGAAGATAAAATTTGATGAAATTGACTGCAAGCACCCTAATAAGGCTAGGCTCAGCAGGCTGTAAAGTAGGGCCTTTCAGCTCAAGATATTGGCGTCATTGGAGCATCATCATCAGCCACCTTGACGAAGACTTGACCTTACATGACATCAGCGTCCAATGGGAACTGAAATTGCCTTCTTCATCTTTAAACTGAGTTGAAATAGCCATCTTCATCTACAAGAACTTCCTTGGAATACAATGGTCAATTGGAGGCTGGACTGCTTGAGACTTGAGTACAGGGCAAGCGGAATTGTCAAACTGTCTATTCACTCCTCTGTTCATACGATACCAAAAGGCTTGCAAAGTACCAAAAAGTTTGTATGTTCCTGCTGTAGTTAACTGTCTTCCATTGGTCATGCTAGTTTCAAATCCACACTGTTTATAAAGTGTAGTAAAATAATATGAAATGTAAGTGGAGCCTTGTCTCTATCAGAGACAGTCATATCATTTTTATTTGACCATAAACATTTGTTCCTAACTTCCTAGTATCTGCACCACTCATTGTAAATGGAACATAAGTTGCATATAGGTACTTATAACTCAACACGTATAACTCGGCAGCTTTGTGGCAGACAGACACGTGGCGCCATCTATTAAGAGTGGCAAAGTAGAGTGAGGCTTGACACGATTCTGCCGCCCGGACTGCCTTAAATCACTGTGCTCATATCAACAAAGCTATTGTGAACCCTTCGTCCTAGTAACCATTGCTTAGTTCTAGAATTATTATTGTTCTTGTTATTCACTGCATGCGCTGCTTGCGGTCTTTCAGATTTTCAACTGTTTTATAAATAGTTGGCTGAAGACTGGCAAATATCTAGAATGCAATAATTTCAATCTAAATTTTGCTGCTGAGGTGTTGCCAAAGATCTTGTGATATTCACCACTTTCTGCACAGTGGCTTCTAATCATGTGTGGTTACGAATCTGATACCACGTTGGCAAATCCTTACTTGATCACATTCACAAGTCGTGTATCCGTAACTGACAAATTTTTGCAATGAAGGTGTTTTAAGATAAAAAAAAGCTTCAACTTTCACATAAAATTATCACAATTTTATCCATACCAACAAAGTTTTTGATATCATACAAAATGATGGGATTAACTGAAAATCTTTCAAGGCATAAGGCACATCATGCATATGACAAAATACCATCGCCAAGATCTTGTTTTGGTAATGTCAAGTTTGATTTCACAATAAATAGATTTGATACAATCATACACATTCCTGAGATTTAAATTATGAAAAGTTATTTCAAAACTTAAGCACCTATTGATATGCATCCAGATGAGAATTTTTCATGTTTTTGCCCTATTTTGTAGACATTGTCTAATTAACTTAAGATTCTTTTTCACTTCAGATTCTGAATGATTTTGTCTCCCATCATGAGTTTTCTACCATCTCATGTCTTATACAAAATGAGAAGTGGCAATTATTGCATTAAATAAATCATTGAGCACTTAGGCATGTACCTTGAGCAAAAGGTGTATTAAATAATTTAATTTAATAAAATTTAATTTTTAATTTGAAATTTTATTCAAAAATTTTAATTAAAATTTTTAATCAAAATTTTTTATTAAAAATATAATTAAAATTTTTAATTAATATATTTTATAATTTAATTTGATTCTACAGCTAGAATTAGCCTTTGGCAACTGAACAAGCTAGCAGTGGTCGCTTGCTGGTAGGTATGTAGGTAGGTATTTTATTAATCCCGTTTGTATATACAAATGGAAATATCCCTTCTATTTCAGGATCTGTTCTTGAATATACTTGTGAAAACTAAACTTCTATAGTCAATTGAGACTTTGAAATGACAAAATACTTAGATTTGAAATATTTAGAATAGTGAGATGATCAAAAGAAATTTGATTGTGAAAGAAGTAAGAATAAATTCATTTCTTAATGTAAAAGTCCAAAGATATTTCAAATCTTCATCAGGAATTATGCCAATGTTAATTAACTTGAACCAAATATGCAGTACGGTACCTACCTATACTAAAAGCTTTAACACTACAATGTCAATTCCAGTTCATTACAACATTAAACAATGGGATTGCTAGTGATGCCTGAAAATTAGTGGCATATGAGGCTTCTTGAATTGGCTCTGCTCACCTAGTTTATAGTAAAACAATCAATATTCAGGATTAAATTTACCAGTAATCTTTTTAATATGAGATAGTTGGCAAGTGTGTACCGGTATTGAAATGTTCTTGGCATTGGAAACTGGAATTGCATTAACCCACTGAAGAACAGTCAACAGAACAACAGCTCTATGTATGCTTTCATTACACAAGCAGTAATGCGAGTGTGCTCCGTTAAATCGCTAATGGCCACGTGGTGTGCATCATGTTAAACTTTTATTGGTGGCGTGATTTGTTATTAATTCATAAATGTTAATTTGCTTTCTTTGACTTGGAGACAAAATGCCAATGAAATAATATTTAGTCTAATTGAAATCTTAAACTTAAAGTGTTGCAACCTCCATTCTTGATTCTTTCAAAAAAAAAAAGTGGCAGAGGTGGATCAAAAAAATATATGAACCCTAATTGTTAGAATTCTAACCTGGTGGCACCAGAGATTTCCTAGTACCGGTATCAGTTCATTTTTAATTTCCTCATTTACTCGATATTTTAATCAATTTCTTATGTACGTACATGACAATGCTGCTGCTGGTATCCATGATACTTTGCTGGTCTACTTATATAAGTATTTAAACTATGAAAAATTGATTGTTTTCTAATGAATTTCATAAACCACCTTTAAAACAATTATTTTCACTGGCAATATATGGAAGTTTCTGCTCAGTACATAAGATTGGTAATGTTATGTGTGTTATTGTATCAGATGGTATTATTATGGTGATCCTCTGATTATTAATCACAATGATAATTTTGATTAGGGTATTAACCACTCTCAGGAATTTGCAGGTTTTTGTGTAACTTTCCTGTACAAAATAAGCTTCCTGAAATCAATGGTTGCAGGAAGCCTTAAATCAGTTTAAATTAATTTAGCCTTGAATTCTATTTGTCCTTCAGAAACTTGTTATTACTGTTTCCCGTCATTCTGATTATTTATTGTATAAAATTTTATATGAATCAATTGTGATTTAGTTTTATATAGGTATTTGTTATTTTTTAGGCCTGCCATTGAATTAGGTTACTATCTTCAAGTTTGAAAGTATTTTCCTTTTATAGGATAAAATATTGCAAAACTAAAAATAGTGGCGTAAAGTTCATTTTTACTATCTACGGTATGTAGCAGAAAGAAAGTTAGGAAATCATCCATTTACTTCCTCTAAAAAATCCCTGAAAAAAAGTGTGAAAAGTGAGATTTTGGAAAAGTACTGTCAACCGGGGCTACTCGGGACAGTCCTCCGACACGGCCTCAGTAAGCAAAGGGTCCAGTTAAGAAAAAAAAAGGATTAAAAACAAAGAATATTGATTACATTTACCTCGCTTGGCAAAAAAATTTAACTTATCGAAAAATTAGTACATCATGGGTTGTCACAAAATTGCACATAGAATGCTATATATATAATTGTGCACCGGGAATCATAGAATGAAAAGTAATTGACCTAAACTATGATTTATTTCTCCAAAACATATGATGGTTGTCATTAAAACATTCCTTTCTGTTTCAGGTATGTTTTTCACAATCTTTTTTTATAGTAAATTCACTTAACCCAATTAAAATGGTGTGAAATTACAAGCTGTCCTGTAAGCTTACAGATATACAGAAAAAATGCTATAAGGCTGCTGATATGAAGCTTGCAGTGGACAAGGTTGTTGTAAATGCTCAATGGCATGTTCATGGATATGGTAATATCACATCAATAATATGGTACCCTCAACTGGGGTGACTTGGGCATGTTTTTGATTTTGTTTTGCAAACAAAAGCAGGGTCATAAACGAAGGCCAAAGTCACTCTGGCGTTTATGACCTTGTTTACGGCCCTGGCATTTATGACCCCAGCGTTTACGACCCCGTTTTTGTTTGCAAAACAAAATCAAAAACACTGTGGAAGTCACCCCAGTTGATGGTAATTAATGTTTACGGTAATATCATCAATAAAGAAAAAAAACAAGTAAAAATCACTGAAAATGTCATTTATTCTACCTCTACATCATCTACAATGAAAGAGGAGGACTTCAGAGTACTGTTAGTAATTGATGAGTACTATGCTCTGCATGCTTCAAATGTTTAAAAATGAAGTTATATTCCCAGTGTCCCGAGTAGCCCCGTTCGACGGGGCTACTCGGGACACTCTTTTTTTGCTTCTGGCACCTTACGAATAGCATATGAAATTTTTTTGAAGATGCCATTCGATAGCCCTCACAAAGAGCTATAAAATGAGCCTAAATTTGTTTATGAAATGTTTCATGGTAATAAGTTATGAATGAAAAACGTTCAAAAGTGTCCCAAGTAGCCCCGGTTGACGGTACCTCTGCTAAGGTCTGTAGAAAAAAATACTCGCCGTATCCAAAAATTTTACTCAATAAAAATTGCACACATTTGTTGCCTTGAAAATGTGATTGGCAGAATAAACATACCCGGTATCTCATTCCAAAAAAATGGCCGCCATTTCCACAAGATGGGGTAATAAGGGACAACCCTAAAAACGCATTTACAGTAAAACCTCAATTAGCAAAGACTCCAGTTAATGAAAAAATCAATTAATAAAAAATAATTTTGATTATATTTACCTTGCTCAGTAAAAAAATTTCACTAACCAAAATTAATGCATTATCGGTCATCACAAAATTGTGCAGAGATGTCATAGATAGAATTGTGCACTGGGCAACATACATTGAAAAGTAGTTCACTAAAACTATGATTAATTTCATCAAAAAATATGATAGTTGTCACTAAAATATTCCTTTCTGTTTCAGATATGTTTTTGTGATTTTTTCATTATAGTTAATTCACTTGACCCAATTAAAATGGTGCAAAATTATAAGCCGGTCTGTAAACTTTACAGATACCTACAGAAGAAATGCTATAAGGCTGCTGATATGAAGCCTGCAGTGGACAAGGTTGTTGTCCATGCTCAATAGCATGTTCATGGATATGGTAATATCATAGGTATAAATAATATGGTAATGTGTGGATATGGTAATGTATCAATAAAGGTAAAAGAAAAATCTCAGAAAATGTAATTTATTCTACATCTACATCATCTACAAAGGAAGAGGAGGACTTAAGAGTACTGTTAGTAATGGATGAATACCTACACCATGCACACTTCAAATATTCTAAAATAATGTTTTATTTCAAAGTGTCCCTTATTATCCAATTCCCAAGGGTAATTCAGGAGGCTTTTATTTTGCACCTGGCTCCTTTCAAATAGCATATGGAATTTTTTCAGATATGCCATACGATACGGTAGCCCTTGCAAAGACCTTTACAATGAGCCCAAACTCGTTCATGAAATGTTTCATGGTAAGAAGCATGAAATGAAATGTTTCATGGTAGCCGTTTGTTGGTATTTCTAACTGAACAAGTTATCAGGCTGGATTAGACATGATTTCATTAGCCACCATTTGTAGAATTCCAACCTTTCTCATTTTGTTCATTTTTACCTTATTTTGAGGAAAAACCAATAACATAATATGTACAAGGCTTGTTGATGATATTCATAGATCTCATTATACTGTATTAATTCTCTGCTAATAGGTAATCTAATGCAATTCTTTTTACAATGATTTTCAACTGCCAACATGGCATGATGAATGTGCAAAAAATAGGTAAAATCTTGTTAACACATTTTTCCAAATATTCAAATGTTATTCTATATAGTGATTTTTTTAAACAATTTTATGGTCAGAAACATACCTAGCTACATTTTTCCAGGGAATTTAATATTTTATTATAAAAGGATGTAATATATTACCTCTATGTTTGCAGAAAAAAGTGGCAAGGCCATACAATTGACATACAGCGAGCGTTGTCACCTTGTTGCCCTCACACAGCAAGTCATCCATGGGCCCTACGATGACGCTGCTGCTGCCTCTCAGACGCTGGGCATTATGGACGTCGTGGGACGAGACAGAAGGTCGGCTTAGTTCATATTCATACATATATTTAGAGCCCAGCATACGTATATAAATATGAACTAGGTACTTAGTTCATATTCTTGTTTACACACGTACGATCAATGACCGGAGAATTCATTGATTTATATTATCAGTGAGTGGAACTTTTCTTCAGATGATGGTAGATTAAAAGGCAAGCTTCCTGAAACTTGCCTTTTAATCTACCATCATCTGAAGAAAAGTTCCACTCACTGATAATATAAATCAATGAATTCTCTGGTCATCGATCGCGCGTGTGTAAACAAGTAAATTCTTTTATCTAATATTAATTAGTTCATATTCATACCTATATGAATATGAACCAAGTTCATATTCATACATATATGTAGTGTACAACACACATATATGAATATGAACTAGGTACTTAGTTCATATTCATATGCTGCCTCACACACTCTGGGCATTAGGGACGTCGTGGGACAAGACAGAAGGTCTGCTTAGTTTGTATGCAAGTTGAGATTTATTTCTGTTGGAAGTTAATAAATTTATTTACCCTAATGTACTTAGTTTAGTTTAGGTCTGCTTAGTTTGTATGCAAGTTGAGATTTATTTCTGTTGGAAGTTAATAAATTTATTTACCCTAATGTACTTAGTTTAGTTTAGGGCTGCTTAGTTTATATGCAAGTTGAGATCTTTATTTTTGTTGAATGTTAGTACATTTATTTACTTTAATGAACTCTGATTAAAAAATGGAAATGTGATTCAAATCAATGGATCACATACATGATACAGTGGGCTAGGATATTTGATTCACTACATTGCAATAGTATGAGAAGACTGTTAATTACAAATGGCAAAGGCTTGTTCTTCCCATTCTCTTAATAGGGAAATTCAAAATATAAAATTGGCTTTCTAAATCTGGTACACGGTAATTATTTATTTGTTTATTTATTACGGTATTTACGGTATTACGGTATTTATTTATTTATTGTTTTTTAATGAGTACGGTACTGATAATAAATATTATTTAATTATATTTATGCAAACTTTTCAATCAGGTTTGGGAGTATGAGTCCAACAAAATTCATATTTTGCCTATATTCAGTGTGGGACTAGTGTGAATATTAATCACATCTAGCCATGGCAATAAAGATTTTAATATCCAGTCACTATTGACCTAAATGAATAAAAATGTAAGTCATTAATTGGAACATGAGTATAGTGATGAACCATTACTTGACATCAGTAACTCCTGATCATGACATAATAGTAATTATCAAGATTTTTAACAAAGAAGCTTGTTGGCTGAGAAGATCTTTGGTCTAAAATGTCCACAACACTATTGCCAGAATTCAATGACCTATAACTATACTGTATAACAATGACCTACTATATAACTACTATAACTATAATTGATGAGAAGGAACTATGCAGTGTGCACATATACCTAAAAATTTGAATTTATTATCCCAAAGCAATACCATGTGACCACAAGTAAATAAATTTTCACCATAAATTATTATAATCACTACCTATAACTTGCATGACCAGATTGACCACCATAAATTAATGATAAAATAAAAATAGATTATAATTATAAGATAAATTATTATAATCTCAATAATCTCCATGCCCAGATTGGCATGGCAGATTATAACATAAATTATTATAATCTCCATTATCTCTATGACCAGATTGGCATGGCAGATTATAAGATAAATTATTATAATCTCTATTATCTCCATGACCAGATTGGCATGGCAGATTATAACATAAATTGTTATAATCTCTATAATCTCCATGACCAGATTGGCATGGCAGTCGCTGGGCAAGATGTCGAGTGATGAGGCCAAGTTGGAGTTTATCGAGCAGCTGCACCGCCTCGCCCCGACCCTCAAGCCGTACATTGAGGCGTGTCTTGCTGACCACCTGCACCACCTGCAGCTGCAGGAGGAGCAGCGTCTGCAGCAGGAGGAAGAGCACAGATTACAGCTGCAGAAAGAACAAGAGAGAATTCAGCAGGAAGAAATTCGGAGACAACAGGAACAGACAAAGTACGATTAGTTTCTAGTAAATGTCAATACATTTTTTTCGTGGCAGAAGGATGTTTTGCCAACACACAAACTAGGGGTTCAATCATGGCTGTAAACATGTTTGTATGTTTATTGATTAGTTTCTAGTAAATGTCAATAGGTACATTTTTTTCATGGCAGAAGGGCGTTTTGCTATCATACAAACTAAGAGTTCAATCATGGCTGTATGCTTATGTTCATTGATCTGACAATTGGGTTTTGTTTAAATATGTTATGAAAAAACATTTGTAGGAATTGCACATAGAAATTACGGATATATAGGGTACTAGTTATTTCATGATAGAATGCATTTTTAATTATCAAGCACTGTTCAAAAGGTAATTGACTTGTATGAATTGAAGCTCCAAACACCAGTGAGCAACAGCCATTATATATTACCTGGACTGACACGCAGGTTAATTTTAGGTTCATTTCAATCTTAAAGAATATGTCCTAATAGTAATGGGCCTTCAGCTTTTCCATTCATTAGAATCCATCAAAGTTTGAACTATGACATTTTCTAAAATTTAATTTCTGAATTAAAAGTTTTTAGCTTTAATTTTTAAAAATTTGAATAGGAAGTTTGACACTATATACTATTTCACATCTGCTTAACATGTTGACTACGATTGCTTCATCTTGTACTATTATTTCATTTTTTGTACTCTTTTTAAGCAGGGTTGCCAGACGGTCATTTTTTCCGGACAAATTCCGTGATTTAGTTTTTCTCAATTGCGTTGGCCGGCTAAAAGTTATGATAGGGGTACTTCCTAATTAAATTTTAAATACTGCAAAAAGAAAATAAATGGAATTTTTATAGCGGAACCTACAAATAAACTAGTATACATTGAATTATCGGCCTTTTTTGGCCTTTTTTGTTCTCAGATTTGGCCGATTTTAGGCAACCTGAATTATGTACCACTACCTCCTGGAGAAATACATTTCGTGGTACGCATATGTATCAATACGTACCTAGTCAACGTGTTAATAATGATTAGTTACAGATTGTGGTGCAAAGTTTTCCATACAGCAATTCTATGACTTTTTCTTTATGCGATGTAGATTTTTTCCAAGAAACATGGTTTTATTTTTTTATATGGTACAGTACTATTATAGATAATTTTCTTATTAAGCTCTTAATAAAATTTGATACATTGGCTTAGTCCAGATTATATAACAAACTAAAAAATTAGAAAGGGAAATGGTTTTGTGTCAGTGAAAGGGCGCTGGGTGTGAATGGATGTAAATTCATGAGGAATGAGAAGAGATGGAGAGACGTGAATTATTCAAATTAAGTTAATTAATGAATTAAGAAGAACATTAGGAATTAAATTGCTTGTGTTCTCCCTGTGTTGGCATAGTCAGTGCTAATGGCAAGCTATGTAATTGTCCTTATGCTAATAATTTTTTCTCTGGCATAACTAGTAGCACCTGTTGCTACTCTCTCACATAAGATTGCTTTATCACAGATATCATTAAATCATCATCATTAAATTCAATTTTAATTTACATCATCAAATCATTGTGTTGTCAAGTATTCTCACAATATACAATCCAGCTTTTGACATTTCATAAAAATTTTAAGCATTTGCATTAAATCTTGTAATTAAAATTTTACCTGAAAATTGATGTTCCCCAAAATGTTTCTTGGCTGCAGAATGTTAGAATTATATAAAATTTTACTGAAATATCATTCAGGGGCCATACTTTCAAAATTCGTTAAGTGAACGTAAGTACTTACGCTCTATTTTCTTGTCTATGATTGGTGGATTTTGCTTGAAAGGCCGTCAATGATTGGCTGATGAACTTACGATCTCTTAACTTTTTTTGAAAGTATGGGCCATCGTCATTTTCACACTGTACAAATTAATTTTTGAAAGTACAGATTCTTTTATTACAGTAAATTATTCATGCAGAACTTATTTCTAATAAAGCTTTATAATTAAACCTTCAACATTGTGTGGCATTGTTGCTGAACTCATTAGGATTCGTAATAGAAATTTACAATCAATACCGTATTGATTAAACAATAAGAACTGTTCATCTCATAGCAGGAAATTAAAATAAAAAACAGGCTTCAATTGCTATATTAACTTCACAGTTTTTTATCAGTTGTAATGGTTGGAATGCCTAAGAATATTTCAGTATCTAGGTTTTACTGATAACACTTTTAGCTTACAATTTTTATTACATTTTTTTACTTGACAACTCCTTACATCTGAATAATTCTGATTCTAATTATTGCACTCTGGACAGAAATGCTTGATATTGTACAGCGCTTTAATTAACTTATTGAATGCTCAGCAAAGAAACTTTCTGTTTAGTTTCTAAGATATATTTTCTATTTAGTTCATAGGACCGCTGTGTTTCATTACAATTATATAAAGCCTTTCATCATATGTGAAAGTCATCATCTTATTTCTTAGATAAGATAATGGCATTACTATCTCTCAGTCATTATCTAGGAAATATTGGCTGTATTTATTTGTAAAGTTTCAAGTTTTATTATCCTCTTCTGTTCATTGAAAATAAAAATATATATGAATTAATATGTTTACTTTGGTTGCTGAAATATTAGCTGTATTTATTTAAAAAGTTTAAAGTTTTCTTATCCTCTTCTGTATATATATACTGATACCTATACACTGTATAAATAAAAATATAGGTATATAAATTAATATGTTTAATTTGTTTACAGACGAGAGATTCAAGCCGCCCTCAACCAGCAGACGTTTGCTCAGTTCAGGAGCTACGCTGAGCACCAGTTCCCTGATAACCCTGATCAGGTGAGCTGATAACCCTGATCTGGTAATCTGGTGAGCTGATAACCCTGATCTGGTGAGCTGATAACCCTGATCTGGTGAGCTGATTAGTGGTACAGTAATTCAGGGTTGCCATTTGGCCTAAAAAACGGCCAAGTCCGCGAACAAAAAAGGCTTATAACTTGATATAAACTAGTATATTTGTAGGTTCCAGTGTAGAAATTAAATTTTTTTCTAGTTTTTTAAAATTTAATTTTGAAGTATCCTTATCATAAATTTTAGCAGGCCGACGCAATTGAAAAAAAAATAGCGGAATTTGCATTTATCAACTCAAAATCCTAGCAAAATTTTCAAGATTTTCTGCAGCATTAAAGTCAATGCATTTTTTTCGTGGCATAAGGATGGTTTGCTATCCTACAAACTAGGGGTTCAATCATGGTTGTAGACATATTTCAAAGAATTTTAGTTATGTTCATTGATGTGGTGACTGGGTCTTGTAAAGTAAAAAAGTTATTGTATACAGCATTAAAGTTATTGTTTTGTGTGCAGCAAGCCGTGCTGATAAGGCAGCTGCAGGATCAGCATTATCAGCAGTACATGCAGCAAGTGTATCAGCAGCAGCTGCAGCGGCAGCAGCAACAAGCAGCTTTATTGCAGGTATATATGTCTTATCGCAGCATTCTGTTGAAAATGCCATGTGTTGAAAATGCCTGGTGTTGAAAATGCCTGGTGTTGAAAATGCCTGGTGTTGGAAATGCCTGGTGTTCAAAATGCCTGGTGTTGAAAAAGCCTGGTGTTGAAAAAGCCTGGTGTTGAAAATGCGTTGTGTTGAAAATGCCTTGTGTTGAAAATGCCTGGTGTTGGAAATGCCTTGTGTTGAAAATGCCTTGTGTTGAAAATGCCTGGTGTTGAAAATGCCTTGTGTTGAAAATGCCTGGTGTTGAAAATGTCTGGTGTTGAAAATGCCTGGTGTTGAAAATGCGTTGTGCTGAAAATGCGTGGTGTTGAAAATGTCTGGTGTTGAAAATGCCTGGTGTTGAAAATGCGTTGTGCTGAAAATGCGTGGTGTTGAAAATGTCTGGTGTTGAAAATGCATTGTGTTGAAAATGCCTGGTGTTGAAAATGCCTGGTGTTGAAAATGTCTGGTGTGGAAAATGCATTGTGTTGAAAATGCCTGGTGTTGAAAATGCCTGGTGTTGAAAATGTCTGGTGTGGAAAATGCATTGTGTTGAAAATGCCTGGTGTTGAAAATGCCTGGTGTTGAAAATGCCTTGTGTTGAAAATGCATGGTGTTGAAAATGCCTTGTGTTGAAAATGCATGGTGTTGAAAATGCCTTGTGTTGAAAATGCCTTGTGTTGAAAATGCCTTGTGTTGAAAATGCCTTGTGTTGAAAATGCCTTGTGTTGAAAATGCCATGTGTTGAAAATGCCATGTGCTGAAAATGCCTAGTGCTGGAAATATTTTTTCAAACAATACCCTTACTGCTTTAATTTTCCACATATTGCATTTATATTAAACTTTCTTGTTTGCCTCTATTATTTCTCTAAAATTCTGGCATTTCAATGCACATTTAACTCTGTATTAATTGTCATTTGCTCGCAGTGCTTCAAAATTTATTTGTATTATGTCAAAACTTTAATTATTGTGCGTCTTATTTTGTACAGTTTTTGCTTACTTCAGGGTGAAAACCGGGCATGGAAAATCTGGAAAGTCATAGAATTTGATTTATCATTTTTATGGCCCGGAAAGTCATGGGATTTCATTTCTGGTTATGGAAAATCATGGAATTTGCAAGTAAATGAAGAAAAAAAGAAATTGTTTCACTGTGCTGCATGTGTATAAACCCATTAATGTCGAGCGGTTCCATTTGGATCCAGTGGAGAAAAATGAATTCATAATATAATTGTAAACTAAAATAAATATACAAGTGGATGCGTAGGTTTGATAGGTACACATCTTGTACATGTTCTGGCAAAGTTTGGTTCTGCTGCGCCGACTGTACCCTATTTTCTGTTAACATTCAAAGATTACTAGAACCAGGGGCCATACTTTCAAAACTCGCTAAGTGAACGTAAGTTCTTACGCTCTATTTTCTTGTCTATGATTGGTGGATTTTGCTCGAAAGGCCGTCAATGATTGGCTGATGAACTTACGAACTCTTAACTTTTTTTTGAAAGTATAGGCCCTCGTCATGGAAAATTCATGGAATTTTTTCTCTAAATACTGGTACGCACCCTGTTACTTGCTCTTCTATTTTATCTAACATTTATGACTTCAGTTTTAAATATTCGTTCTCAAAATCAGTTTCCATTATAATGATTCATATGGATTTGAATGATCTCTTTTCATGGCAAGTGCTTAACTTTAAACTCCATTACATTTTCAAGTTATAATAAAACTAACTTAACATTGTTTAGATTAGGACCTTACATGCAACACTAGTGCACGCAACACTAGTGCACGCAACACTAGTGCACGCAACACTAGTGCATGCAACACTAGTGCATGCAACACTAGTGCACGCAACACTAGTGCACGCAACACTAGTGCACGCAACACTAGTGCACGCAACACCGGTCCGTGTTTTTTCCGTTATTGCATGTGGACCGGAATTTATTAGTACCTATCTGAAATCGATGAGTCAAATAACTAACTCTGCATCATTACTAAAACAGTTGGAGCTTCATTTATCTGTCAATAAATAAACCAGAAAATAGGAAATTGTTGAGCCTGTCTCTCTTATCAAGGCTCATGTTACCAGGACCAAAAAAATGAAAATCCACGGACTGGTGAACATTAACACGGACACGGACACCGGATTTGCAACACTAACTGGTCATTGCACGGACCGGTCATTGCACGGACCGGTCATTGCACGGACCGGTCATTGCACGGACCGGTCATTGCACGGACCGGTCATTGCACAGACCGGTCATTGCACAGACCCTGTCTCTTATACACATCTAGATGTGTATAAGAGACAGGCATTATGGACAAGATCCAATCCTGGAGATGTATTTTTAAGAGATTTTAAGGAGCGTTGTAGCTCGTA